AGCCCAGAGGCACGCCGGCACCCCCGTAGAGCCTTCGCCCCGGCTGGAAGCGAGGTGGCGGCAGCCGCCTCTGGGCCGTCTTCGCAGGGGAACGTCCGTCCACGCGTCTTCGCAAGCCCACGGTGTCTTAGCCAATGATGAAGGCGTCACCCGTGCCCAAACCACTCTCCAGGTGGATCCCCGGAACCTGCTGCGCCCAGGGCTGTCCTTGAAGGTGGCTCTGCGGAATGACCAGGCCGCGAAGGGCACGCACGGCTTGACTTGGCTGCACGAAATTTCCCCATGATTATTCTTCACTCTGTCCCAGTTTTGCGGGGGGGGGGCGGCAAAAGACACAGGACTAAGATGAAGTTCGCTTCTGCAGGTTGTGCAGCACAGCTCCCCATTCTGTTTCCAGACGCACAACTCAAAAGGATGTATTGCTAAAAACAACTGGGGATCCACCGGTATGCAGATAACGGTTTGTCACACAGGTTGTAGCAGGCTGATTCATACAAAATGCTACTCTTGTGACAAACCGTAATCTACACACCAAATGGTTCACACATCATACTAAGCCACTGGAATTATCAATACCTACTTTTAAGTAAAAATGTTCAAGGTTTGCTAATTCTTTGATTTTAATTGAGATTAAGAAATTAATGCCACGGGACAAGTCTCAATGCAGACACGATTTTTCAGACTCAGCAAAACAAATTAATTTTTTAGACACAACAAAGCAAGCCTTCTAAGCACGGTGCAAAATGTACGAACATTAGAGGTCCTCACCTTAAAACGGCTGCCACTAATTTGGTTTAACCAGATTCTTTGCTCTGGTTAAACCAACTTAGGGAATATGCATCACACCCTAAATGCCAAAAAATAGCGAGAGGTCCAATAGCACAGCTCAGCAGCACCCAGTTTAATGGCTGGTTTCACCTGTAATAGTAAACCATCATTTGCTTCCATTGTAATTTGGAATAATTTGTTTCCATTGTAAAACCATGGATTTTTGCCATCTGGCCTGGGGCGAGGATGGGGATCATCAAGTGTGGGGATGGCTAGTCCCTTAGTGGCCTGGCATTGCTGCCTTGAACCATCAGCCGCCTGGATTTTTTCCCTTTTATTTTTGTGAGTGTGAATTGTTATCGGTTTTAATTGTATATTTATTTATTGTTTTAACGTGTTGTGAGCCACCCAGAGTCCCCCATTGGGGGGAGATGGGCGGGGGACAAATTTAATAAATAAATAAATAAAATAAAAACAAGCCACAGTGACCTGGTTAATATAATAATACAAACTATAGTTTAAAAATCACAAAGGCTGAGTTATATTGTCCTGTAAGTATACGTACAGGACATGCTGAGCTACTTTAATATTAATCACGACAAGACTAACTTATGGGCACTGCCCTGGGTAACCATGGCTTGCAGTTCCTTCTCCCTCCAGCAACCTTTGCAGCCAGCACCTGGCTGTTCCACTATTTCTATTACAATAAATAAAAGAGGAGTGCAACTGGGGCACAGTGAGAGAAAGGCCATTTCCCCAGCCCCATCTGTTACCGGAAATACCCCTCCCAGGCACATGATCAGCACATTAATCCAATTTGGTTATACACTGAGCCACCATTGGCCCAGGTAAAGCAGCAGCCACAGCTTTGTACTGTGGTTGAGGGGGAGAGGCTTCATTCAGTGACCGGCTAAGCCAACCACAAGAGGCCTCAGAAAGCCACGCAAGGCGCAACTGCAGCAGAAGAGGCATGCTGAACTGCAGCAGAGCAAGGGGACCCCCACAGGCCCCACTGAGATGGAGCCTCAGATTTATACCGAAGAACTCCCTCCTCCCAAATGAGTTTCCATAAAGAAGTACAAACTTGGCTCTGGGAGAAAGCACTTGGGGGACATTAAGATTGTGGTCTCTATCCCTGTTGATCAGTGCCATTACAATGTATATTGTTTATCACTGCTGTGGTATTTTTAATGTCCTGGGTCTTCTGTGTACATGGCTCTGTGCCACTGGGAATAAAGCAGCACAGAAATGTTAGCAATAAAGAAATAAATAACCTACCAGATAGAAAACAAGCCCCTGCACACAGCCTGTTAGGGGGGTCCAATAAGAATTGGGAAATGCCATGTTTTTGAGCTCTAAGAAATTCTGCTGCAGCCCTACGATATTCTGCTGAAAAACTTCAATTTAAAATATGTATTGAGATCTAAAGTTCTCCTCTGAAAAGAGAAAAATAGACAAGTCTTTAATATCAAAAAAATCAGGGACGTGTGTGTGTGCATATGTGTGTTTATATATACACACCCACACACGCCAGTATAATTTTGGACTTATTGGGTAATATACATACTAATGCTACCAATAGTATGGTTATTCATATAAACAGATATTCATTACTTATTATCCTTAGCAGTCCCTTTTTCTTAAACTCCTAGCTTTTCCTTAAATTCAAACACAATAACTGGCTAGCAAACAGCATAAATCCCTACCCTATTTCCTAAGCTGTTTCCTTTAGAAAGAAAACATTCTCTCCCTGTTTACCCTCTTGCATCTGAATTACAATAAATACATAAATAAATAAAATTAAGCACTCTTTTTTTCCTCTGAGAGGTGAGAAAGATCAAGCAGGATTCAGAGTACATCTTTTTCTCAAGAACTACTGAGGTTCTTGCAACAGAGCGGAGAAGAGCCCATTCAGACTGTAGAGAGAACAGGGCCTTACTGTAGTCTTTTAAACAGTTTATTGCTGCAAAACAGTTTCAGAAGTGTTTGAATTATTTCAATCTCTGGTCCCAGCAATTAAATCCTGTAAAGCCTTTTGCCTTCTGAAAATTACATGAAGGTTTTGCCATCTGATATCCAAGCACTGGGAACAGTTAGCAGTTCTTAAGTAACAGGAGAGACAGGCCGACTTTCCACCTTGCCTGTGGGAGCAGCTCTATTAGCGCCCCAAGAGCAGTTTCTGCAACCACCAGTGAAATGCATTTCACGGCACTGGGAGCTCATTCAGACTTTGAAAGATGCAAAACCACCTCAAGGATTCCCGAATGGTTCATATTCTCTGCCTCTGATCTGCCTGCATACAAACATCCAGCTGGCTGACTGCGAAATATTAAATAGGGCTGGACCTAGTTAACGTTTAGATGGGAGGCCACCAAGAAATCCCAGGGCTATAGGGCAGAATGAAAAGTTGCAATAACATATGGAAGGCAGTGCTCAGAGACAAAGTACATAGATGTGTCTGCGAAGACACTGGGAGTTGACCCTGACTTGAGGGAGTGTTTACTTTTGTATCTACAATTATTGGAAGAGCTTTGCGCTCTTCTATTTAGGGGGACTCATTACCCTGTTAATTCTTGTGAGAAGAACCCGGCAGCCCAAGCTGTGGTCAGAACTGTCCTATCGCCCTGTCAGGAAAGGGGAAGACTGGGATACCAAAATCACTGGAAGTCACGCTAAAAGCTGCTCCTGTAACAGAAGGGGTGCCTATTGCCGAATCAGGGTCAATGCACAATAACTACTGTATAGTAGTAGTTAACCTTATCAGCAAACAGTAACGGCAGTTGGCATCCCACCGATCCTTCCAGAACAACACTCTGCTAACCAGAAAAGCTGGTAAATAAAGCTCAACATTTTAGATTAGTCCCACTCCTAATCTAAGCAGCCCTGTATGGCCCTGCCTGTTTCAAGCGCTGGGCCGGGCCGGGCCGGCGGACCGGCAACGTCCCCAGCGCTACGGGAGGAAAAGCGGCCTCCGCCAGGCTTTCCCGCTCCCCCCACTACGAAAGAGGACGTCCCCACTCTTAAGACAGACGCGCTGACCG